TGTACAAGATCTGTATGCTGAAAACTATCGAAAGCTTATGAAGGAAATTGAAGAAGATATAAAGAAATGGAAAAACATTCCGTGCTCATGGATTGGAAGAATAAATATTGTGAAAATGTCAATACTACCCAAAGCTATCTACACATTCAGTGCAATCCCAATCAAAATTGCACCAGCATTCTTCTCGAAGGTAGAACAAGCAATCCTAAAATTCATATGGAACCACAAAAGGCCCGAAATAGCCAAAGTAATTTTGAAGAAGACCAAAGCAGGAGGCATCACAATCCCAGACTTTAGCCTCTACCACAAAGCTGTCATCATCAAGACAGCATGGTATTGGCACAAAAACAGACACATAGACCAATGGAATAGAATAGAAACCCCAGAACTAGACCCACAAACGTATGGCCAACTCATCTTTGACAAAGCGGGAAAGAACATCCAATGGAAAAAAGACAGTCTCTTTAACAAATGGTGCTGGGAGAACTGGACAGCAACATGCAGAAGAATGAAACTAGACCACTTTCTTACACCATTCACAAAAATAAACTCAAAATGGATAAAGGACCTGAATGTGAGACAGGAAACCATCAAAACCCTAGAGGAGAAATCAGGAAAGGACCTCTCTGACCTCAGCCGCAGCAATTTCTTACTTGACACATCCCCAAAGGCAAGGGAATTAAACGCAAAAATGAACTACTGGGACCTTATGAAGATAAAAAGCCTCTGCGCAGCAAAGGAAACAATCAACAAAACTAAAAGGCAACCAACGGAATGGGAAAAGATATTTGCAAATGACATATCGGACAAAGGGCTAGTACCTAAAATCTATAAAGAGCTCACCAAACTCCACACCCGAAAAGCAAATAACCCAGTGAAGAAATGGGCAGAAAACATGAATAGACACTTCTCTAAAGAAGACATCCGGATGGCCAACAGGCACATGAAAAGATGCTCAACATCGCTCCTCATCAGGGAAATACAAATCAAAACCACACTCAGATATCACCTCACGCCAGTCAGAGTGGCCAAAATGAACAAATCAGGAGACTATAGATGCTGGAGAGGATGTGGAGAAACGGAACCCTTTTGCACTGCTGGTGGCAATGCAAACTGGTGCAGCCACTCGGAAAAACAGTGTGGAAGTTCCTCAAAAAATTAAAAATAGACCTACCCTATGACCCAGCAGTAGCACTGTTAGGAATTTATCCAAAGGATACAGGAGTGCTGACTCATAGAGGCACTGTACCCCAATGTTTATAGCAGCACTCTCAACAATAGCCAAATTGTGGAAAGAGCCTAAATGTCCATCAACTGACGAATGGATAAAGAAATTGTGGTTTATACACACAATGGAGTACTACGTGGCAATGAGAAAGAATGAAATATGGCTCTTTGTAGCAAAGTGGATGGAACTGGAGAGTGTTATGCTAAGTGAAATAAGCCATACAGAGAAAGACAGATACCACATGTTTTCACTCTTATGTGAATCCTGACAAACGTACCAAAATTTCTCATGGGGGAGGGGAAAGGGAAAAAAAAGGAAAAAAAAAAAAAAAGAGAGGGAGGGAGCCAAAACATAAGAGATTTTTAAAAACTGAAAAAAACTGAGGGTTGATGGGGGGTGGGAGGGAGGGGAAGGGGATGATGGGCATTGAGGAGGGCATCTTTTGGGATGAGCACTGGGTGTTGTATGGAAACCAATTTGACAATAAATTTCATATATTAAAAAAAAAAAGAAAATAAGGGAGAAATGCAATAAACTATGCACTAATTGCACAACTGCCTTTTTACAAAGATGTCTGAGTGCTGAAACCACAGTGCTGCCACAAGACAGGTCCTAGTGTTCATCTGTTAACTAGTACTTTTTAAAAACCTAAAACTAATCAACAGAGATGACTGAGCAGAAAGTATAGACATTATAAAACGCAAATTGAGGGACATTCATTAACATAACTGGTCTAGGGGCACCTGTGTGGCTCAGTCAGTTAAGCCTCCAACTTCCACCCAGGTCACGATCTCATAGTTCATGAGTTTGAGTCCTGGATCAGTCTCTGCAGTAAGGAGCTTGCCTGGAATTCTCTCTTTCCCTGTCTCTCTGCCTCTCCCCCACATTCTGTCTCTCAAAATAAATAAATAAACTTTTTAAGAAATGTATTAAAAATAAACAAAACTAAATAACTGGCCTATTATCTTTAAAAGTGCCAAGATCATGAAAGTTAAGAGTGAAGAAATGTTCCAGATTAAAAGAGACTAAAGAGACGTGACATCCAAATTGAACCTGTGATTCAACTCTACTGGCACAATTGGTAGAACAGGAATGGGGCTGTATAATTAAATGTACCAATGTTAATTTCCTAAGGATGTATTATGGTTATGTAGGAGAATGCCTTTGTTTATAGGAATGACATACAAAAACATTCTGAAGAGCTGAAATATATATCGGTAACTTACTCTGAAATGATTTAGAGGAAAAAAACTTGTACGATACTTGCAACTTTTCTCTAAGTAGGAGATTGTTTCAAAATTCTTAATCAACTTCCCTTTTTGTAAAACACTTGTTTAAAAATGTGTTCCTCGAGGCACTTGGGTTGCTCAGTCGGTTAAGAGTCCAATTCTTAATTTTAGCTCAGGTCATGACCTCACAGTTCATGACTTCAAGTCCGGCATCAGGCACCACACTGGCAGTGCAGAGCCTGCTTGGGATTCTCTCTCTCCCTCTCTCTCTGCCCTTCCCTTGCTTGCATTTTCTCTCTCTCTCTCAAAATAAAAAATAATAAATAAAAAAATAATTTTAAAAATTTTTAATAAAATAAAAAAAGAAGAAGAAAAAGTGTTCCTCAAAACCTTGGGTTTCCCTAGTGACATCAAGGGCTGAGTTAAGCAGGGAGGGCCTTAAGTTCCTGAGTGTTTTAATAAGCTTGAGAAACAGCTGAATACTAATTACAAAATGTTTTTTAAGTCTAGACTGCTAGATCACATCCACCCTCTGTAACTGCATAGGGTGTGGCTTGAACAAATTACTTAATTTTTCTAAGTTTTAGTTTCTTCATCTGTAAAATAAGAAAAATGATACTGCCCACAGCTTACAAAGATATTTGGAGGACCACTTAAAAATGATATATATCAACAACTACTTAACACCTGATAAATTTCACAGATTCTTTAAAATTATTTGTTCAATATGCTAGCCTTCCATATAAAATTGTATTTGTAAAAAAAAAAAAAGCCTGCTATTCTAATATAATACAATTAAATTAGGACACTCATTATATCGGTTTTAAGTGATAAACTTTGTTGTCATGGAAAAATTTTGCTCTAGGCTATGCAGTACAATGGTTAAAAGCACAAGTTCTCAGGTCAGAGCACTTGCCTTCAGTTGCAATTCTGCCACTCATTTGCTGTGTGATCTTGGCAAGTTAATTTATCTAAGGATAAAAATAGCTATAGAGCAATAACACTACTAAGAATTTATCCAAAGGATCCAGGAGTGCTGATTCATAGGGTCACATGCACCCCAATGTTTATAGCAGCGCTATCAACAATAGCCAAATTATGGAAAGAGCCCAAATATCCATTAACTGATGAATGGATAAAGAAGATGTGGTACATATATATATAATAGAATACTACTCGGCAATGAAAATGAATGAAATCTTGCCATTTGCAACAATATGGATGGAACTGAAGAGTATCATGCTAAGTGAAATAAGTCAGAGAAAGACAGATATCACATGTTTTCACTCATATGTGTAATTTGAGAAACTTAACAGAAGACCAGGGGGGAAGGGAAGGGAAAAAAAAAAAATAGTTACAAACAAAGAGGGAGGCAAACCATAAGAGACTCTTAAATACAGAGAACAAATTGAGGGTTGATGGCGGGGGGAGGGGTAATGGGTGATGGGCATTGAGGAGGGCACTTGTTAGGATGAGCACTGGGTGTTGTATGTAAGTGATGAATCATGGGAACCTACTCCTGAAGCCAAGAGCACACTGTATATAGTGCATGTTAGCTAACTTGACAATAAATTATATTTTAAAAAAGAAAAAAATTGCTGTAGAGGTTAAATGAAATTAATGCATAAGGCTTTTTAGCAAAGTATCTGATATTTTTAGTCTTTAAAAAAATATTAGGTGCTGTTTTTATTTCTGGCATGTACATATTTAATACACAAGGGCAATAGTTGGCATACTACACCCCAGTACGTGAACTCTGCCCGCCTCCTACTTTTGTAAGATCAAGTTTATTAGAAAAGCTAAACTCAGCCAGTATGTATTGCCTGTGGCTGTTTTCATGCTATAATGGCCTGAGTAGTTGCAACACAGACCTGATAGCCCACAAGGCCTAAAATACTTATTATCTGGATTTTTCATAAGAAATTTGCTGATCTATACCCTCGGTGAGAAAAACACACTAAAAATACAATACCATAAAATGTTAAAACAGATGATATAAGTGGAGAAAGATAACCAAGTTACTGGTTTCCATGTGTCTCAATAAATTCAAAGCAACTGAAAAACATATGGTTATTTTCCTTTCCCCAAAAAAGTAAGCATTTCAAAACTGAAAATGTCCTTCGAGGTTCTAAATTAAAACATTTTTTTTTCCAAATGGAAATACAAATCTGAGAATTAAATGAATAGTCTATACCTAAACAACTTACTATTATCACTCCAGGTGTATTCACTGTGATGCATTAAGGCATTGCATTAGGTCATAAGCAAAGCATATTTTTCCGAAATAAATCACACATGAAAAGTATATTTACGAAATCTCCATGTAAAAGGACCTGTGTAAAGTACCATAAAGAATTCACAAAAGACAAGACAGGGTAACTTAAAACACAATCTAAATAAGCAGAAAAATAATCTCAAGGCATATAAAAACCAGTTAAGTGCATTTCACCATAATTTCTATATTTCTTTAAATTTTTTGTAAATAAAATAGATTACTTTGTCCACTTAACCTACACAAATAGAAAAATCCAAAAATGTATTACCTGAATTGGATGTTTACTAAATGAGGCTGGGAGCCATCTGATTGCCAGTAAGTTTCAAGATTGTCATCTCGTAACTGATCCACTCCAAATCCTAAAACACAAGTGACAGTAAGTTCTCATGAAAAAGAAAGAGCTATATATTCGAAATATAAAATTACCATACACATTTGTCCAGAAAGTTTGATAAAGAGGATGGTCAATACTCTAAACTTTAAATTAGAATTCTTCAATCTTCTTAAGAAGATCTCAACTCTTAGAATATCATTTGCACACACAAAATGTTACATTAGGGCCAACTGTTCTTGGTTGTTGGCTTTAATTTTTAAAGAATATCTCCTAAATAAACTCTAAACACAGCATGTCTTCAAATCCAGCTTATACTTTCTACAAGGTGGTAATAAGACTGATCCTCATGTCCTACAAAATCAGGTTTTAAGTCCAAGATGCCATACATCTTTCTTGTGACAAGAAAAAGGACACCTTAGAAATATTTTCAAAAATCACATACATTTTGAAGCCAAGTGTTTCTGATCAACATTCTGATTAGTCAAAAATTAAATGTGCCCAGAATTGCATATCTAGCTATTCTAGATAACTGAAGTAAAAATAACCTGTATTGCTTTTTGATTAAAATCATAATAATGCATACTAATTGTAGAAATAATTTAATGGTAAGGTGTGGATGTTTCAAAAATATTTAAGAAAATTGATCTAATTTACATTTTAATTTTTTGAGTAGTATATTCATTATAGATCAAATTCAAAAGGTACAAAAAAGAACATGGTGGAAAGTCTCTATCTCCCCCACCCCCACCATCCAGTTTCCCTCCTCAAATATAATCAATGTTATCAATTTTTTACATACTCTTTCACACATACTATACACATATATAAGCAAATGCATAATTCTTTTTCCCCTCTACACAAATAATGGCATATGATAAATAGCTCTACACTTTGCTTTTCTTTTTCACTTAAATTATCTGAAAGATTCTTCCATATCAATAATAATAATTAATAATAATAATAATAATAACAGCAGCAGCAAATACCGATATCACATTCACTATATGCCAGATACATTCTAAGCATTTTATATGATTATATCATGTAATGTTTATTTAACTCATATAGTAACTCAGTTAACCTAAGCAGCTCCCACATTTTTTAAAGGTTATACAATATCTCACTGTCTGGAAATGTAATAATTATTTAACCAAACCCCTATAGGATACTTAGACTGTTTCCAATGTTTTCCTATTACAAATAACACTGCAGTAAACATCTACCTATCTAAAATCTTCAAATGCATATCAGTATTTCTGGAGGATAGACTTCTAGGAATAGAACCCTGGGTCATTTGAATTTTTAATTTGATAAATATTGCCAATTTCTCCTCCAAAATGCATCCTCACCAATAATGTACGAGAACATATATTCCTTTATGTAACCAGTAAAACTTGTGATATTCTGAAATCTTTATACTAGATTTTGAAGACTTAGTATAAAAACATTAAATATCTCTATTTAATAATTTATTATATATTGATTATATATTGAAATAATTTTGGATATATGGAGATGAAATAAATTATGACAATTGTATCTTTTTAAATTTTAATAGTGGTACTGGATAGTTTTAAATTACATACGTGGTTTGCTAGATTTCTCTTGGATAGCACTTCTCTGTACTCATGCTAAAATGAAATCATTCTTTTAAGTATTTGCTAACCTGATAGGTAAAAACTTATTATTTCAAACTTTCATTGATCATTTATATTTCTTCTTATAGAAAACACCTATTCATAACCTCCTATATTTTCATTGCACTTTGGTCCCTTTATTGATTTATAACTCTTTTACTATTATGGATATTAACCCTATGTCTGTTCCATGTGATCCAAATATGCTCTCCACAGTCTGAGATTTATATCTTAAATCTTCATATGCTGCATTTACAGTATATACTATTGAATAAGAAAGGTTCTTCCAGGGGCGCCTGGGTGGCTTGGTCGGTTAAGCATCCGACTTCGGCTCAGGTCATGATCTCACAGTCCGTGAGTTCGAGCCCCGCGTCGGGCTCTGTGTTCACAGCTCAGAGCCTGGAGCCTGTTTCAGATTCTGTGTCTCCCTCTCTCTCTGCCCCTCCCCTGTTCATGCTCTGTCTCTCTCTGTCTCAAAAATAAATAAACGTTAAAAAAAATTTTTTTTTAATCAAAAAAGAAAGGTTCTTCCAGAGAAAATAATTTTTGCATTAAATTCTGAAGTACTAGTAAGAGTTAACTAGGTAAACAGAAGGGCAAGGTTAAAAACCATTCAATAAAGAGAAAAACACATAATGGCACAGAAAAGGAAAAGTGGAATCTATAGGAAACAAAGGTAGCTTTTGGTAGCTAAGGCTACACATTGGGTTGCATCAGGAAATGAACCAGAGACATATGAAAGAAGTCAGATCATACAGACTCTTATGTACTAAGATATGAAGTATAAATTATCTTGAAAAATATGCCAACCTACATAAGAATTTTTAATAGGTAAGTTATATGATCAGGAAATAATCAGATCAGAATCTTCAGATAGATTCTTCATTGCCAGGGAGGGAGAAACCCATTCTAAGTAATCAAAACTCCAAGTGACGATGGTCTGAATTCAGACAGTGACCAAGATAAATGCTAAAAAATAGCTTCCTATTGCACCAAAGAAAATCTTAAAATATAAAAACTGGGTTCTCCATTACTCACTCTGTAACTCTTAGATCTGTGCTGTGCAATATGGTGGCGACTAGCTGCATGAGACTATTGAAGAAATATGGCTAGTTCAACTTGAGATTTGCTATAAGTGCAAAATATATATTGGTTGAAGACTAGTATGAAATGCAAACCATCTCACTAATAATAAGTCTAGTTATCTTGAACTAAAAACATATTATTACATTGGGGTGCCTGGGTGGCTCAGTCAGTTAAGCATCCAACTTCGGCTCAGGTCACAATCTTGCAGTTTGTGGGTTCGAGCCCTGCACTGGACTCTGTGCTGATGGCTCGAAGCCTGCAGCCTGCTTCAGGTTCTGTATCTCCCTCTCTCTCTGCCCCTCCCCCACTCGTGCTCTGTCTCTCTCTCTCAAAAATGAATAAACATTAAAAATTTAAAAAAAAAACAAAAACCATATTATTACAATTAGTTGCACCCATTTCTTTATCCTTTTTAATGTAGGTACTAGAAAATTTAAGTTACACATGCAACTTGCATTATATGTCTTTTGGACCATACTGCCTTAGACCATGCTTCTTTCTTTACATGTTATTTCTAAGCCTAATTCAGAATATTCAGTTCTGCAAATTATAAGATAAAAAGTTGTTTTGGTACTAACATAAAGAGTTCTTAAGTTCTAAATCCCTTTTTCTTCTTGTCAGTTTATGAGTTCCCTAAAAGAGGATAACTCAATTACAGGACTCTTCCTTAGGAGCTCCACCGTTAAATGTTCTATTGATTAAAAGACCTTTTGTCCCATATTTTATTTTAGCTATTTGGATAGTTTTTCTTTCTCTTTCATTTCACAATTTTACAAGTGTGTGCTCAAAGAATTTCACAAAATGGTGTTTTTTCTTAACAAGTAAAATAAACATTAAACAAAAAACCTGAATAACTTATCCAGAATAAGAGGATGTCCTGTAACTCAAGACTAGTCATTTTAAGTGTCTTTCTAATTGATATTGCTTATGAAACTCTAACAGTATAACTAAGTAGGTACACTCTCATCAAGAATTAATCAGTCTAAATCTTTACCTCTGGAATACTAAGTATGATTATCAGCTTCTAGTTCTTCAAAATATGTCTCACAAACAGAACCTCTTACAAGCATCTGTTTATGTGCCAGTGCCATAGCTCATAGAGTAAGCTTCTTTTCCAAAGCTTCCCATTCAGCGTTGTATCTGGATTCTTTTTAGTCCAAACAAAAGAACCAAAAGACAGACCTGTGATAACTGCTTTGATAGGTATCATGATAATGCACTCAAACAATATTATCCAGAAAAAAACTTTCATATGATGTAGTGATTCATAAGTCGGTGGTTCACAGTATGGTCCCTGGACCAGCAGCATCACTGCTATCTGGGAACTTATTAGGAAATCTAAACCTACTGCATCAGAAACTTTCAGCATTAACCTGTTTAAGAGTCGGTATTTTAATAAATCCTGTAAGTGATTACTAGGCATGCTAAAATTTTAGAACTTTTATGGCAAGTTTACTCAACTTGGGCACTACTGATAGTGTGCACTGGATAATTCTTTCAGGAGCAGGGGCTATCCTGTGCATTATAAAATATTTAGCAGCATCTCTGGCCTCTACTATTTGTCAGTCACAATTTTCCCCCCAAACCAGCAGTTGTATCAATCAAAAACATCTGCAGATATTACCAAATGTATCCCTAGGGGGTAAAATCATCCCCAGGTGAGAACCACTGCTCTAAGGAAAAGAAAACTAGCATTCACCTGTGGTTACTCTTATTGTTTAGTAAATATCTACTCTTCTCTACCCATCCTCTAGGAAAACAAAATGATTCTGCACTCCAGTCATAGTGGAGCTTAATCATGACTTGTTTTGGTCAACACAATGTAAATGAATGTGACACAAGCAGAGGTTTTAAATGTGCTGGCAAGGTCTAACTTGGCACCCTTCTAAATGTTGGCACCCCAGTAAGACATTGTGCCTGAACACATGGAGCAGGCCTAGACCCAAGTCACAGCCTACAGCCAAGTCATAGCCAAGCAAAAAATAAATTTTGTTATAATGTGCCACTGAGAGATTAGGCTTGTTTGTCACAGACCATTAGTGCAGCAAGAGCTGACTAACACAACATCAATAGATGAGATACATTTGAGTAGCCCAGTTTAGATTGCCTCTAGGAGTAAAACAGCCATTTTCACCTCAAGCATATCTTTTAACACAAATCCTTCCACGTTTGCCAGGGTGCTATTATAACTGGGGCATATGTGTTGACTCTGAAGACACAAAGACAGATAACACGTGGTCTCTGCGGAATTCATTTATCTAATACACTATCTATGCTGTGACTATTTACATCTATATCTTTT